TTCAACTCATACATGGCTACTGAGTAGTTGCAGCTCTCCATAATCTCCCCCAGTTAAAAAAAAAAAAATAAAAATATATATATATATTATATATATACACTCTGCCAAAACCAAGCGAGAGGCGCCTTGGACTTGACTTGTGTTGTCCTTTCCTGTGGGGGGGTTGTCTTCAAGATGTGAAGGCAGCAGCTCATTTTTTGAACTGTACAAAAACAAAGAGACCACCACCACCACCACCACCAAAAAACAAAACCGAAGCCCCGCCATTCCACATACTGCCAAATGTACAAAGCACTTGCATGCCAGTTCTTTTTATGGCAATATATTCCTATCTGTCTTTATAAGCTCTGTTCCTCTTTACAGTCTCTGATTTTCACTACAAGAAGGAACTCGCGGGCCCAGCCATCCCCTGAAATCACCATTACTAACGTCGTAGGCTGAATTAGAATAAAGAAACAAAAAGTCGCAGCTCTTGGATTCTTCTTACGTTCTTGTCCTTCGTGTCAGTCTGTGATGAATCTTAAGCTAAGCCGGGCCCCCCCCCGAGGCCGGGGCTCCTCAGCGCTACCAGTCACCCCAAGGTGAGCATCCCTGGACCGGTGGCTCTTGGTGGAACGTCCCCCCCGGCTGCTGTGTCGTGCTCCTCCGTCTGCAGTGCCTGGATAGTCCGTCTGCGGCGGGTGGGCACGGGGCGGGGGGTTTCTTTATGATTTTCTTTATTTTTTTTAAAAAAAGTTGGGGTTTTTTTAAAGTTTTTTTTAATTTTTTTTTTTTTTTTTTTCCGTTAATGGATTCTGGACTTTCTCCTCGTTCTCATGACTGATATTAAAGCTGGTCTTGTGGAAATGGCCGGGCTGTGTCATTTCTGCCTTGGAGCCCCCGGCGCAGCCTCGGCACGGGGCAAGGGGCAGGCGCTAGGACAAGCCCTTCCCGGGGCTGTTCCTCACCCTTCACATCCCCTTGCCCCTTCCACCACCTCTTCATGCAGCTCCTGGTGGGGTGGGCACCAAGCCCTGACCGTGTTGCTGAGGAACATGGGTCAGTGGTGGTTTGGACAGTGTTGGGTTGATGGTTGGACTCAATGATCTGAAAGGTCCCTTCCAACCCAGACAGTTCTGTGATTCTGTTCTGTGATTCTGTGTTCAGCTACATCCCCATCTGCTCCGTGATGGTGGGGCCAGCACTGATGTTGCGCACTGTGGTCATCTCTTGGAGTCTCATTTATTGACGACCGGGACTTGAAATACAACCGGGTCAAAACGGTGCTGCTTCACCCCAATAAAGAGAGAAGGCAAGTTTACTGGAACTCCCAAACCTACTGGTTTTGTAGGCTGGGGGAACGGGAGCAGGATGCAGTGTGTGTGTTTGCATCTCTGCTAGCTTATGGCAGGGCACTGCTAAATGGCCAGTGGCCATCACCAACGTGGTGGCCACAGCAGGGAGAGTCAAAGCTGGACTATGAAAAAGTGTTTTGGGAGAGCTGATGGAGTCCCAAACCCTGGGAGGGTGTTAAACCAGCCATGGGGAGTGGAGGTCAACCCAGATTTACCCACGGGGGATGCTGGAGATGGGAGGTGTGTTGGGCTGAGGGACTGAGGACATCCCTTTGCCCTGGAGAAGGTGCAAATCTACCCTCCAAGTCTATCTCAAGTGCCTGTGTTCATGCACAAAACCACTTTCCTCTAGGACAAATTCTTCTGCTGTCCAGAGCATGGTGCAAAGGGCTTCCAGTCTGTCACTTGTTCTGGAGTAGACATGGACAATGTTGAGCTCAGCAACCCGTCAAGGGTGCTCAGGGTGGATCTGTCCTGGACCACTGAAGCCAACAAGAGCTTCCCTGTGTTTGAACAGATGTCCCAGATGGGTGGCTGCATGGACAACCTCAATGCAGCGCAGTCACTCGGGAAAGTCAGGTCCTGTCTCTGCAGAGCCCAAATCACGTCCCCCCCCTCACACACCACCAAACCTGAGTCCACTGCTGTCCCCTGTGCCAACAGCAGGTCCTTGGGGCAATGCTCCCACATTTGCCACTGTGGATGTGGCTCCTCTCCCTGCTTTTGGGGTGGCTTTGGCTGATTCCATGTGAAGGAGAGCCTTGCTGAGGCAAGACCAAGGGGCAGGATCACAGCCCACCCCTCCACCGTGCTCACTGTCCACCAAGGGCAGGCTGAAGCCCTGCTCTTCCCTTTTTCTGTTCTTGCTCACCAAGCCCAAGAAGCTGCTTTGAGGGTGCTGTTCAGACACATCACAAGCCATCCAAAGGTGCCCCAGCACCAAAACCTGGAGCCCATCCCAAGCTCGGTCTCTCAAGAATCACTCATGTCATCCCCAAGCCCACAGGACATGGTTCTCGGCTTTTCTGGGTTCTTCTCTGGCTGCTGCAAAGCTGGTCCCTGCTCAGCAGGGGCCTCCTTCAGTTAAACATGAGCTGTGGCACTAAGGAGCCCCATTAACACATCTGCAAGGCTGTTTAGCTGCAATCTCCTCCTCCTTGCCTTGCTCTGCAGCAGCAGATAGTCCACTTCCCCTCAACGCTTTTCTCTCTTAGACAAAAATAAACCCAGGAAGGCTCCCGACAAAATACCTGGCTTGTGGCGTTGAACACACCCAAAAAACCTTCAGCAAGCAAGGAGGCAGGCAGAGTCCTATCAGACATGGAGAAGCAGCAGCCGGGTTTCAATCCAACCCAACCCTTTCCAGGCTGGCAGAAAAGTGCTTACAGGATGTGTCCCCTCTAAACGCTTCAGGGTGATGGTGACTCCAGAAGTCATCTCCGTGCATATAAATTTCTCCACTTGGCAATTTATTAAATCTCCATTACGAGATCTTAGTAGAGTCATTGGAAGGTTTTGCTGAAGCTTGACGAGGTGGGACACCAGGGGGATGCCCGGGAGTGCTGTGAGGAGTTTGGCTAATACCTCCTGTAGAGGAAAGCCACTTGAACAGGGAGGCTGGCACAGGGATGGCACCTCTGATTGCTCCTGAAGAGCACACTCTCCACACTGAAGAGCTCGTTTTGTGTTAACAGTTTTCATTATCTCCTGAGACCTGGACACTGGCCACACATTCATGATGGCCCAGTGGCCATCAGCTGGTAACAAGTGCTCGATGACAGCCTGGCTGCAGAGCTGCCAAGCACTGCCTCCCGTTGCCAAACCCCTGTGCCAGCCTGGTCCTTGTAGTCCCTTCTGGACCAGGGGAGGGAATTTGTGCCAGGCCTGGCTCAAGGTGACTCATTGCAACATCTCCAGGCTCTTAGCCATGCCCATGACAGCTGGTTGAACCACCAGGTTCCTTGTGCAAACTGGTCTTTATACCCCTTATGCTCATTAATGGCTGGGAAGAGAGTTGGCCCGAGATCTATGGTGGACCTTTGTACTGTATTTCTTTGTGCTTGGAGCTTCTCTGCCTTGGTGTGGGTTGGAGTCCAAGGGTGAACTTGGCTCTTTACAGGATGCAGCCCCCTAAATGCAAAAGCAACTCACCAACAGGGTGTGGATCTTGAGAGGGGATGGGGGATGAGCAGTGAGACACTGATGGCAATGCCAGCCCCTAGCAGATAAGCTGGTACCATTTGACATCTAAGCCTGGGCGAGATACCACCAGACTGGGCAAAGTGGGGCAGCCCTTTAGTAAAAGAGGTATTTGAATA